CTCGATTTTCTCTTCGGTGCAGTCGCTGTCTGACGAAACGGAATTTCTGCGTGAAACTGCTCTGCGTGCTGCTCAACAAATTGTGCACATGTTTGCTGAGAGCTCGCTCGAGCTACTTCTACCGGAATTAGAACAAGGAATGGAAGACAAAAATTGGCGCATCCGACATTCTTCGGTCCAATTGCTTGGCGATCTTCTTTACCAGCTGTCTGGACTTTCGGGCAAAGGCACCACCAAGGTACATTCAACCTATTCATCGTTTTCAACTACTAACTAATATTCAGTAGCCAAAGTTATTTTTTGAAATATATCCAAACAACTGTTTTTCATCTCTGCAAATAAAAATCGGAGAAATGTGAAGTTTTTTATTTGTTGTTCCCGTTACTTCGATTCCATCAAAATATGGAATTACGCAGAAATTCTCTCACTTCCTTTTTTTATTGTCTTACTCCCGTGGGAATGTTTTGCAACGTTTTTTGGTCATATGAATTGAATGCACTATTTGTTTAACGTGGGATGTGATATCTACTTCCATGTGTATTGAAGTTTTGAGTTGTACGCCAATGAACACGTAAGCTTGCCAATTACCTTTCATGTTTTGATAGTGTTTCCTAGGCTGAATTCCGAGTCTTACGTACTTGTTCTATTGTGTTGTCTTGGTATTTGTACACTATTCTGATCGTATGCAGTTTGACTCTTCTGAACTCTTTCTGGAACGTAGGTGCTCAATAAATTAATCTGCTGACTGGAACACATACTTTTGACTGCCCTGATTTGCGTACTATTTAAAATACCTAAAAGGTTTGGTTAGTGTCAGTATTTCTGAACTTATCTGTTCGACTGGGTTACTATCACAAGTAACATGTCTCTCGATTGTTACAGTTGTTGCTCCTTATCCTTTCTCTTTTCACAGACTCAAGATGAGGACGACACATTCGGAACATTTGAAGCGCACGAACGGTTGAAGTCTCTGATGTCTACCGAACGCCACAATCGTATTCTTGCCCGACTTCACATGGCACGTTCTGACCCCACGTTGATCGTGCGTCAAGCCGCTATTCATGTGTGGAAGGTGGTGGTTCCGAACACGTCGCGCACCCTACGCGAGATAATGCCCGTTCTGGTTCGCCTGCTGCTATCCACATTGGGTTCATCAAATCGTGACCAACAACAGGTCAGATAGCGAAAGCCTTTTCCTTGTTCCACGTATACAAATTGATATATTTGCATTGCAAGAGTGATTCACACTCTAGAGTTTATTGCACCAAGTGTGTAGCTACGACTCATTGTTTGTACTGTCCTGCAAAACTGGTACAAATAGTGGTTTCATACGAAGATCATAGGATCAGAGCTGATTGCTTAATCGGCTAAAGAAATCAAAGAAATCAATCAGAAAAATGAAAAGGTCAACTAAAAGTTACCATCTAGTCAGTAACATAATGCCGTGAAAACATATAGCACTAACATTCTCAATATATTGTGCACCATTGCCTTACCTGCCTTTTTTTTTACTTCATTGAATACGCAAATGTACAATGTACCTTCAGGAAGGGGTCCGCGGCCATACAAAGGCTGCCTCTGAAAATACCGAAATAGGGAAGATGTGCGATAGGGTGAGGGTGGTACACAACAAATGGACTAACTCTCAAAGCCGAATTGCGACCATATGAACCGAATTTCTCACCCGTGTGAATTTAATTCATTTGCAGTAATTAGCATCGTAATTGTTGACATCAATATTCTTGTACTAGTCAATCGTCATAACGACAGGGTTCGACAGCATTCTTTTATCACAGTTGATCAAGTGTCCCTCTTATGTGATATAAACTTCGCTCATGCTGCTCTCAAATTATTTCCCTGAATCGTTGCCGTTGTTACGCTATATGTTACATGATTATCAATGGTCAATAAATTCACATCCTGTTTCTGTTTAATTTTTGCGTGATTGATTATATGTTCGCCTCAGACGGCAGTCACTGTTCAATTTTCACATTCTAAAACTTCGTCATTCCTGATTTCCCTCCCCACCCCAGACCATTATACCTGAAACCTACAAGTTTATCGTCGAACAGCTATTTTAAAAAATTGTCCGTGCTAGTTCGTTAGATCTGTAGTTTCATTTGCTTCGGCATCACACCAATTCTAAAGCATATGCATTTCTGGTGATTGTGTACCAGCTGAGTCCAACAGCCTTAGGAGGCAAATATGTTTGTTTCGCCGATGTTAGTCAATGCTTTCAGCACTGTGATTAGTTTTTTCTATCACACTTAAAGTGAATTGCAGTCCCAGCGGTAAACCGCTTGATTAAAAGACTTACTGTAAAATTGAGTGTTGGGAAACATTCAAATAAGAGCTCGATTATTGATTTTAGTGAACTTAAGGTCAGCCATTAGCAAAATGAAAGTGAAAAAGAAGGATTGAATTAACACATTTGATAAGAATGACTGTCCGCGTGTGTGGGAAGGACGAAAAAAATGTCATAGGAAGATCCGAAAAACAACAGGTTATTGTAGGTACAGTGGAGAAATGGCTTGATAGTAATCCAGTGATTGCATATTTAAGGTCAAACAAGACTCATCGATCAACCGAATGAGTTTTCGTTAAACTCGTTTAAGAAATTAACCAGAAAATAACGAAACCGTACTTCACAAATGGTTTCAGCATTCAAGAGCAGAGCGGATTTGAGGTTTTTCATAGTAGGAGAAGAGGCGTCTGGTGCGGAACGAAAAAGTCAATCTTGTACACAGCACGAAAACACGCTGAGATACAAAAGGTGACTAACACAAAGAAGAGTTATCAGGCAATCTTAGGAGAAAAATTGAATAAAGGCCAAACGGTTAGGTGGAATCTAAAGACACTTAGGGAGAATGGTTAGAGTTTCAGAGAATTCATAGAAAGAAAGTTTTACAAGCATCCAATACAACTCAATTGTTGTGTCTTCACGAGGAGACGTATTCGAGCTCGGAATCCGGTAGCACATTAACTAACTTACAGTCAAAGTCTATTTTTATGCTGGTACGACGAAAAGTGTGGTGAGAGATTATGCTGGGGAGAGTGCCATCGTCAGTAAATGAGCAGATTGAGTTTAACGTTTTGTATGAGATCATTGATAAATAAAAGAAAGAACATAAGTGCAAACACTGAACCTTGGGGGTTTCCAGCACTCACGGAAACTGGCTAAGATAAAACCCCATCCATTCAGATAGGTGGTTTGCCTCCCGAGGAACGAGATCCGGGGGGAACATGAATGTAGGTAGTTTAGCAGTTAGACCTTCGTGACAAACTGAATCGGAGGCTTTTGAGATATCAAGCGAGACCAAGTGTTTCTGTTCGAGCTCATTCGAATTCGCTGCTTGATTAACGTACACTTAGGATCCGAAAGCAACCAGGTCATTTCTCATTTCGTGTCAGGTGCTATCGCTTTGAGCGGGGTTGTCGTGGCTCATTCATTTGCCGATAAGTTGTGGATTCGTAGCATATTCCTTCCTATTAGTTCTACCACATTTGAGATTACGAGGCTTTTCTAATAACCTTTGGTTTTTAATTGTTTTGCACTCCTTGTGTTTGTAAGAGGTCTCTTTTGAAATTCAACTTTTGTCTCCAAATGTGCTTCTCTAGGGTGAGAAAGAGAGCTTGCTTTCCTGTAGTGTACGATGTTTTAACGAGTGTCATAAATGGCCTCGTTTTAGAACAGTATCCGTAAGACTGTGCTCACAAGTTCCCGAAGTGTATTCAGCCCCTTTGTACTTCATCGTTTTGTTCTTGCTGTCTTACTGGGGTTGGTATATTGAGGGAGGATAAATCAGCTTAATGAATGGTCGCAGTCTCCTGGGGGTTCGGTACAGGAGACGTCTCCCAAGTCCTTTTGCTGTGGTTTTCAAGCCTAGGTCAGTTGGTATGTTTAGCGGTTTACCAGGGATGGTCGTTGGCGCATGCATCAGTTTCTTGGGGTCATAGGCGAGCGGTTTAGGTCATGTAGATCTTCAGATAACGAGAATACACTTGAGACAAATCACTGCCAGCGCGGAGGTGTTACCCCTTTCAGATATCCCTAACATCCCTTACGTTTCTTAGAACAGTCATACATACAAACGTAAGAAATAGTTGAATCGCAGATAAAACTCTTCATTGATAACTAAATTGAATTTTTTTGTGCCTGATTTGTACTACCCTATTGGTTTCTAGCTGGCTGCACGAGCGCTTGGTGATGTGGTTCGAAAACTGGGTGAACGAATTTTACCTGAGGTTATCCCTCTCCTCGTCCTCGGCCTTGATTCGTCTGATGCAGATCAACGTCGCGGAGTTTGTACAGGTCTTACGGAAATCATGCGCAACTGTCCTAAAGAACAGGTAATTACTCTGAACAAGCTATTCCTTTTTCAATCATCTTGACATTCATCCATTGATGATAATTGATCAAACTCAATCTGAAGATCGGAACGCTAACAGAGATTTATCGTTGCTTACTCAGTCACCATGGTTTCGGATACGTTGGGACAACGCCCATCTGGGTCTGACGACACCTGTCCAATTTGGTAACTAAGCTTTGGGCGTTTTCCTTGCCTCCAATTTTATTTTCATGATTCATCCTCTGTCGGGGACACCAGCTTTCACCATGTGTGGAATGAGTCATGATGAACCATGACGCAATGGTTTCATCACCTTGTACTTGCGCTATTGGCTCGAGACATTTATCAGTCACATGATTCGTTTGCATATACACGGTCGTGCGTTTGGTCCACGACGCTAATTTTAGTAGTCTGTACCAAAAAGTTGATTGGAACGGATCTTAGCGTCAGTGAATAGATGCGGTTCTTGGCTGAACGTTCTGTTCGTTTCACTCCAACTCGAAACTGTTTGTGATGCTTGACTGGTTGATCATTCAAATTCAAAAAAATGTTTGCTTATATCTGAAACTTCTGTTACATAACCTATGATTATTGATTAAAATATTGATCACTGTGTTTGGTCATTACGGACCCTGTTACGTTTCTCGATTAGGAACCTGGGAATCGGTCTGATCAATACTCATATGCATTTGATATTATGNCTTGAACACCCTTAGCCAACTTTTTTTTCATGATAATGACCCTGATCTGACTTAAAATGAAAGCTTTCACCAAACCTCTAGATTGACAGTTAACTTTCTCCTAATGCGATTTGCTCTTGACAAATATTCACAGGAGCCGTGAATCAATGTAGCACTGCTACAGTGGAACAGTACCGATAGAGCCTATTTTCCACTGCCTATATGTGGACCGTTTTGCACCAGTAGGATTGTGTGTCCGGATACGCAACGATCAGGCCCAGTTACTGTTCAATCCGAAGATTGGCTCCTTCGACTTTCAAGTGTAGCTCAATCACGAAATAGTTATCGATTGCTTCCATCACCATTCATTTGTGGTACTGACATAAAATGTAGTCCATTGCAATTCGGTTGCCCTACAAGTTTTTGAATGTGTATGGAAATTCCACTTGTCAATAATCTGATCTTACAAAAAGATTTGACTAGATCGGAAAATCCATCTTTCTAAGAAGCTCGTGAAGCCCATGATAACCAGAATTGGATAGTAACCGAATATCGACAAGTTATTTGGAATGAGCTTTTAGGGGAATGCTTTCATTGCCTTTTTGATGTCGATAGAATATCTGATATGTTTTACTCTTCAACTGTTCGATTCAGTTTCAGTTTTTACAACCGTTAATCATGCACCGTTGTGTGATGGTTTTTGTTGTTGTCTCTGGTCCGCCCGTTTGGATGAAGGGAAGATTGGAATGTTGAGAGTACTGCCAAATTGGAAATTAAGAATTCATAAACGGATATTTGCAAGGATATTGGGTAAATCTACGTGCGCCACTGGGTGCGCCACTCAGTGTCTCTAGCCATCGGTTAGGCTAATCCTGAGGTCCGCATCCATACAGCCTAACGCATTTTGTGTGCAAGTCTCCTGCTTAGGATTTTCTTACCCTCATACCAGGTCTACGTTTGGCTGCCCTTTCAACCCATCACCTGCCTCGGCAAACATCGTGCGTCATGGCATTTCATTTCGTAACTTGCGTAATACGCTCCTTAACCAGTGTAATCCATGGATGTCGAGCACTTGCCCCAGTGACCGGCCGCTCTTACCTAGAATGGGTTGATATTTCTCGCTGATCCTAGACTAATCAGTCCTTGTGAAAACTGCGAATAAAAGGCTGTTCGCAATATAGTAGCTTTTTGACAGAACTGTTGTACACAAGGTGCAGTTCTGTGTCTGAAGCAGCGTTTTATTTTAGCCGTTTCGCAACCATGGTTGTCGTCTGCCATCGCGTTTCTCGCCCCCGCTTGCCCTCGTCGGGTTCCATAGGAATTCAGTTTGAATTTCACCTACATTTGCCTCCGCATAGACGTAACACCTGCTCAATTGGCACTCTTCTTGTCCCGGGGAGTTTATTTTTATCGACGATGAATAAATTTATTAGTGCACCCATCATTCTTCTCTTTCATCCTTTCATTCCTCAGCTCGTCAACTATGCAGATAGTTTGTTGGTGCCGATTCGACGCACTCTGTGTGATCGTCTTCCTGAAGTTCGACGTTCTGGGGCTCGTACTTTCGAGTTGCTTTACGGCGCACTCGGCGTTCGTTCATTGGACGGTGTACTGCCAGATTTGTTGGCACAGCTAGATGATCCGGATACAAACCAGTGCGCTTTGGATGGCTTGCGACAACTTCTGGTTGTTAAGGGCAAAGCGGTCATGCCTTATCTCGTGCCCAAGGTAATAAATAAGTCGATGCTTGGGATCAGTTTCCACTAGTTCATCCTTTATTCCAGTTCACAACCGATCAATTGTATTGTATTGTATTGTGTATAACTTTT